ACGGGGCGGGTGGACGTGTTGGTCAACAACTCAACGGGGGGTGTGGGCTGCTGAGTTTGCCGTACTGTGCCTGCGCCGCCTCTCCCCTCCCCTCCCATACAGGCAGCAGTCAAGCAGATCACCAGCCAAAAGGGGCGGCGTGTGACGTGCTGGTCAACAACGCCGGGTGTGGGCTGCCGGGCCACTGCAGAACTACCCTGGCGAGGATCAAAGAGGTGCGATGCGGTACCCGTGGGTGGGGTGAGATGCGGAGGTGACGATGGAACAAGGTAGTTGTCTGTGTCTGGATAGAGGGGTGAGCTGCCGGGGCCGCTGGCAGAACTACCCATGGCGAGGATCAAAGAGGTGCGATGCGGTACCCGGGGTGGGGTTAGATGCGAGAGGTGACGATGGAACAAGGTAGTTGTCTGTGTCTGGATAGGGTGTGAGCTGCCGGGGCCGCTGGCAGAACTACCCATGGCGAGGATCAAAGAGGTGCGATGCGGTACCCGTGGGTGGGGTGAGATGCGGAGGTGACGATGGAACAATGTAGTTGTCTGTGTCTGGATAGAGGGTGTGAGCTGCCGGGGCCGCTGGCAGAACTACCCATGGCGAGGATCAAAGAGGTGCGATGCGGTACCCGTGGGTGGGGTGAGATGCGGAGGTGACGATGGAACAAGGTAGTTGTCTGTGTCTGGATAGAGGGTGTGAGCTGCCGGGGCCGCTGGCAGAACTACCCATGGCGAGGATCAAAGAGGTGCGATGCGGTACCCGTGGGTGGGGTGAGATGCGGAGGTGACGATGGAACAATGTAGTTGTCTGTGTCTGGATAGAGGGTGTGAGCTGCCGGGGCCGCTGGCAGAACTACCCATGGCGAGGATCAAAGAGGTGCGATGCGGTACCCGTGGGTGGGGTGAGATGCGGAGGTGACGATGGAACAAGGTAGTTGTCTGTGTCTGGATAGAGGGTGTGAGCTGCCGGGGCCGCTGGCAGAACTACCCATGGCGAGGATCAAAGAGGTGCGATGCGGTACCCGTGGGTGGGGTGAGATGCGGAGGTGACGATGGAACAAGGTAGTTGTCTGTGTCTGGATAGAGGGTGTGAGCTGCCGGGGCCGCTGGCAGAACTACCCATGGCGAGGATCAAAGAGGTGCGATGCGGTACCCGTGGGTGGGGTGAGATGCGGAGGTGATGATGGAACAAGGTAGTTGTCTGTGTCTGGATAGAGGGTGTGAGCTGCCGGGGCCGCTGGCAGAACTACCCATGGCGAGGATCAAAGAGGTGCGATGCGGTACCCGTGGGTGGGGTGAGATGCGGAGGTGACGATGGAACAAGGTAGTTGTCTGTGTCTGGATAGAGGGTGTGAGCTGCCGGGGCCGCTGGCAGAACTACCCATGGCGAGGATCAAAGAGGTGCGATGCGGTACCCGTGAGAGGGGTGAGATGCGGAGGTGACGATGGAACAAGGTAGTTGTCTGTGTCTGGGTAGAGGGTGGTGGTGTGAGCTGCCGGGGCCGCTGGCAGAACTACCCATGGCGAGGATCAAAGAGGTGCGATGCGGTACCCGTGGGTGGGGTGAGATGCGGAGGTGACGATGGAACAAGGTAGTTGTCTGTGTCTGGATAAGAGGGTGTGAGCTGCCGGGGCCGCTGGCAGAACTACCCATGGCGAGGATCAAAGAGGTGCGATGCGGTACCCGTGGGTGGGGTGAGATGCGGAGGTGACGATGGAACAAGGTAGTTGTCTGTGTCTGGGTAGAGGGTGTGAGCTGCCGGGCCGCTGGCAGAACTACCCATGGCGAGGATCAAAGAGGTGTGATGCGGTACCCGTGGGAGGGGTGAGATGCGGAGGTGACGATGGAACAAGGTAGTTGTCTGTGTCTGGATAGAGGGTGTGGTGTGAGCTGCCGGGGCCGCTGGCAGAACTACCCATGGCGAGGATCAAAGAGGTGCGATGCGGTACCCGTGGGTGGGGTGAGATGCGGAGGTGACGATGGAACAAGCTAGTTGTCTGTGTCTGGATAGAGGGTGTGAGCTGCCGGGGCCGCTGGCAGAACTACCCATGGCGAGGATCAAAGAGGTGCGATGCGGTACCCGTGGGTGGGGTGAGATGTGGAGGTGGATGGAACAAGGTAGTTGTCTGTGTCTGGATAGAGGGTGTGAGCTGCCGGGGCCGCTGGCAGAACTACCCATGGCGAGGATCAAAGAGGTGCGATGCGGTAACCGTGGTAAAATGCGGTAACCGTGGTACAATGCGGTAACCGTGGTACAATGCGGTAACCATGGTACAATGCGGTAACCGTGGTACAATGCGGTAACCATGGTACAATGCGGTAATCGTGGTACAATGCGGTAACCGTGGTACAATGCGGTAACCGTGGTACAATGCGGTAACCGTGGTACAATGCGGTAACCGTGGTACAATGCGGTAACCGTGCGGTAACCGTGGTACAATGCGGTAACCGTGGTACAATGCGGTAACCGTGGTACAATGCGGTAACCGTGGTACAATGCGGTAACCGTGGTACAATGCGGTAACCGTGGTACAATGCGGTAACCGTGGTACAATGCGGTAACCGTGGTACAATGCGGTAACCGTGGTACAATGCGGTAACCGTGCGGTAACCGTGGTACAATGCGGTAACCGTGGTGCAATGCGGTAACCGTGGTACAATGCGGTAACCGTGGTACAATGCGGTAACCGTGGTACAATGCGGTACACCGTGCGGTAACCGTGGTACAATGCGGTAACCGTGGTACAATGCGGTAACCGTGGTACAATGCGGTAACCGTGGTACAATGCGGTAACCGTGGTACAATGCGGTAACCGTGGTACAATGCGGTAACCGTGGTACAATGCGGTAACCGTGCGGTAACCGTGGTACAATGCGGTAACCGTGGTGCAATGCGGTAACCGTGGTACAATGCGGTAACCGTGGTACAATGCGGTAACCGTGGTACAATGAGGTAGGATGAGGAGGCACGATGATGATGCGGGATGAAAAGGGGGATGAGGAAGGGAGCAAGGGAGAATGGCAAGGCTGCTTCTTACAAAACAACTCATTAGATCAAAACATTTATACGACCTTCTTATACAGCCTCTTTGCCATCAAATGCAAGATTCTCCTTCTTCCCCCACACCTACCCTTCCCCCTCTCCGCTCCCCAATCCTCCTTCTCTTTCTCCTCATCTCCCTCTTCTCCTCCGTCTCCCTCTTCTCCTCCGTCTCCCTCTTCTCCTCCGTCTCCCTCTTCTCCTCCGTCTCCCTCTTCTCCCGCCCTCTTCCCTTGCATGTGTACGTACGAATCCGTATGAAGCGCCACCATGTTTACTTGTAACACTGGATACGCACACGGAGCATCAGCGCTGTCTTCTCTTCTCACAAGCCATGCACTTTCCCACGGTCTTTTCTTTTGCATTGATGCGAAAGCGCAACGGCAAGCCATTGCCGACAGGCTGGCTCGCCCTTTCCCTACTCTCAAGAAGTTTTGAGTTTGCCTCTCAAGTATTTCCCTACTCAAAACGCCATGCCGACAGGCTGGCTTGTCTCTCCCTACACTCAAGAACCACACACAAGCACAAGGGCAGGCAAATCGTTCTCCCTCCCTTCTCCCTCTCTTCTCCCTCCCTTCTCCCTCCCTCTCCGCGCTTTCCAGGTGTATGACACGAACCTGTTTGGAGCATTGGCGTTGTCCCAGGCAGTGTTTCCCTACATGCACAAGCAGAGGAGCGGGCGAATCATCAACGTTTCCAGTGTTGCTGGTTACACGTACAGGTGGGGTGGTTACAGTTACAGGTGTGGTGGCATTGCAGTGTCCCCCCCACAAGCACAAGAATCAGAGCGGCATGAGAAAAGGAAACCATCCTTGCTTCCTTACTTCCTTGTGTTATTTCGCCCGCTTTCTTTCTAATTGCATTTTGTGACCAGGCCCTTAGTGAGGTCGTATGGCAGTAGCAAGCCGACGCTGGATCCAATCACCACTGCATGCGCAATCACCACTGCATGCGCAATCACCACTGCATTCGCAATCACCACTGCATGCGCAATCACCACTGCATGCGCAATCACCACTGCATGCGCAATCACCAAAGGCGGAAATGAAACTATTCACCCCACCACCCCCCCTCCCCTCCCCCCTCCCTAACCCACCCTCCGCGCTGCATGTTGTGAGCAGGCCCTTCGTGGGGACGTACGGGAGCAGCAAGGCGGCGTTCAACGCAATCAACAACTGCATGCGTGTGGACATAAAACCACTTACCCCCCCCCCCCCCCCCCACCCCCACCCCCTCTGATCCCCCCCTCCGTCGCACTGCATGTGTTGGGCAGGCCCTTCGTGGGGACGTATGGGAGCAGCAAGGCGGCGTTCAACGCGGTTACCAACTCCAGCCACCTAAGAAAACCATTTCATCCCCCCCACCCCACCCCACCTGTCATTGCTTGAGCAGCCCCTTCGTTGGGGCGTACGGGAGCAGCAAGGCGGCGTTCAACGCAATCAACAACTGCATGCGCGTGGACATAAAACCACTTACCCCCCCCCACCCCTCCCCCCTCCCCACCCCCACCCCCTCGGAACCCCCCCTCGCACTGCATGTGTTTGGCAGGCCCTTCGTGGGGACGTATGGGAGCAGCAAGGCGGCGTTCAACGCGGTTACCAACTGCATGCGCGTGGAAATGAAACCTCTGGGGATCGGTGTTGTGCTTGTTACACCCGGCTACATCCGCACCAACATTTTCAGGTGCTTTGTTTGAGCTACCTCAGTAAATGAAATTCGTTTCTTGATGAGGCACTGTACTGGTACTGTGCTTTGTTGTATTCGCAAAACCAACAATTTTAAGGTGCTTTGCTACTTTTCTATAGTTGTAGCAATGGAATTTCATGCCTTGATTATGGGTTATTGCACTACACTCAAACGCCCACCTCCCACTCCCCGCCAACAATCGCGCTGTTGTCTCCATTTTAGGAATCCCCCTCTCACTACCACGCTGTCTTTCCAACCCTGAACTCCCCTCCTCTTCCCCGCTTCCCCCTTCCCCCCACCCTACCTCCCCCCTTCTTTCTCCCGATTAATTCCCTTGCTTTAGCGAGAATGTCACCTGCATTTTAGTGCTCAAGGCTTGAGATATCTCAGGCGCCTCAAAAGAATCCGTTACTCCTTGCCTGAACATTGTTTTTCCCCATCCGTCCCCCCATCCGTAACCCCATCCGTCCCCCCCATCCGTCCACCCATCCGTCCCCCCATCCGTCCCCCCATCCGCCCCCCCATCCGCCCCCCCATCCGCCCCCCCATCCCATTGATGCTTTAGTGGCATCAATGCTCCCACATCCCTGTCCTCACATTCCCACACCATCGGCCATAATGCTCCTCTAGTCATTCCATGGAGTTATGTTCTTTCTTTTGGTCCCACGAGTCTTTCTTTTGCCTTCTTAACACTAACACCTCCACCTCTCGTGCGGCAAGAAAACCCCCTCCACATCCCTGTCCTCCCACAGCCAATCAGATGTTCAGTCTACTCATATCCTCCCAATTGTCTTCTCCCTCCTTCCGTTACCACCCCCATCCTCCATGCAGCAAGAATGTCTCTCACATTCCTGTCCTCCCGCCATCAAGCCCGTTTAAGCCCATGGAGATTAATGTCCGCGAATCGTACGCCAAGCGGGCCAAGAACCAGTCATTTCCACCCGCATCTGAGCTGGCAAAGCGCATCGCTGATGCAGCACTCAGCCCAAATCCTCCTATCAGGATTTTGTTTGGAATGAGTGCGCTTCCTGCTGTGGTTGCAGGGGCAATGCCTTTATGGCTTCAAGATTTTGTGTATTCACGACTGTTTGGCAGTGGGAAAAATCTGTAGACTATTCCCGTGCCAATGTGTTCAGCCGAATATTATTGGCCTCTGAAGTTCCCAATTTCCAATGTGTTCTTCAATACACATTCTCGGCGTTACGCTTATATGCGAGGCGAGGCGAGCTCAAACCAGGGGTCTTTTTCCAGAGCAACGACTATCACGGCTTGTTCATGACCGCTACAGTCCAGCTTCCTGGGCAAACGTCATGATTATCTCCGGTTTGTTCCACGACATCAGGAGCACATCAGCAGCGTACATCTGCCATCAGAATCCGCGACAGCAACGACTTGGTAATTTCTGAAGTTAAATTTGTGTTTTGGTTTGGACATTCTGCCAAAAACGAGTTGCGACGGACTTTCACACTGCCACTGCAGTGTGCAGGGCGGGATATGTACAGTACTCAAGGAACTCAGGGGTGTTTATGCTCTTGTATTTTCTTTTTCGTGACCAAACGTACGCGGATGGTGTGAATGTGTAGCTCCGGTACACGTATTTCGTTGCGCAACACCCCTTTACGGGGAGCGTACATAGGCCACTGCTGTACAGTGGATTCCGACCCTTCCCTGGATTCCAGGGGTCAGTGTACGCAAAGATGACTGGTCAGTAGAGTTGGATGCTTGTTCATGAATGGCATACGATCCGATAGGGTTTTAGTTTTTTCTGCCCGAGGGCAGCAGGTCGTCAGGTCGTCAGTGGGTCGACGGAGCTGACGACCCATTTCCGCTGGGATATTCCGTGCGTCTCAACCCATTTCGCAAATACAAGACAGGTGTATCCAGGCAGGTGTCGACCTCGTTGGTCCAGTGGCTAATCCAGTGCGATCCAGTCGGCTTCCACACGGTGAACATCGGTTTTCTTCACACAGCACTTTGAAATGCACACATGTCACGTTTAAATGTATCTGGTTCGTTTAATGCGGTCAAGTACGTCAAAAAGCGTCAAGTACGGTTTGCCTCGGTGGAAACCCAGAATCGTCTTTACCCTTTTTTTAGCGCACAGGACCGAATAGAACCAACCAGGTACATAAAACCGTGACCCTCTCTGATCAGCTTGCCACAACAGCTTTTACTGTACCTCATTTCACCAGAAATGTTCCTCCCCCTCCATCACTTTCACAGCAGCACTACCTTCACTCCAAACGCATCTTCACTCCAAACTCTCCTCCAACCCACGAACCAGAAAGCTAGCTCATATTTCCGCCACAAGAAACAGAAGTATGGACCCATTGAGGTGCCTGATAGTGCTATTACTTGGGATATTAATCAGATCTTCGCTCGTCCTTTCAGATTCGCTCAGCTTAATGGTAAGTCCGAACACACGTAGTCACAAAAACTTTCCCTCCGCATCGCGACGCGGAGTCTTAATTTCTCAATGCGTTTTACAACCCACTTCTGTCCCAGGATGACGACAGCCCCAGCACCACACTGAAACGAAGTCGAGTTGACATCACCATTGGAAATGCGTTATTCCAGCTCGAAGGCGCCTCCCACGTTGACTCGGATCCAAATCATCATGAAAATGGATACGAGTCATCAGATTTACCCTCGAAAACCTCGCCGAAACCAGCGGAGGAGCCGCAAATCGGCGGGAGATTCTTCGAGGCGGGCGGTTTTGGTTCCTGCGGCGTCCCGGACGTTCCCGACGACGCGGAGTGCGTGGCGGATCTCGCGGCATTTCCTGAGCTGGCTACGCGCAGCGGTACCCGCACGGTGCGCCGGTTGGCGTGCCTGGCGCACAGGTATCTGCGCCCGTGGATGGGAATTCCCGGGGTGAAGCGGGGGATGGGCGCGCGGGGAATGATCAGCGCGCAGATTCTACACCGGATGGGTCACATGACCAGCGTGAGTGTTGCTGGTTTACAAAATTTTAACAATCGAGTCGAATCTAAACCAATAATTTCAGTTATTTGAGCCGCATTTCTCCAAACTTTCTCCCTGCCACCATTTGGCCACCCTAGTGACCACTACCGGTACTCTCTAGAGCTCCTCTCATCCAACTTTTCCTGAAACTACTGTCAGATTAGCGAAAGTTGATTGGTTGAGAAAGTACTCTACCCGCCTCCTCCTGCACCACGAGCACTACTAGTTTTGCAGTGCGGCTACCGTAGCAAAAAAGGTAGCATTTAGGTAGTAGTTAGTGTTAGGGTTGGTTCGCCCAACCACGGAACCTAAGGCGAAAGCATCTACGACGGCGGAATGACGGCGAAATGGAAGCGCGTGTGTGAAACGGTGGAAATCGGCCTACGGTGGGGAATAGAGGCTACGGCGTGAGAAGCGGGAGAGAAATTGAGAAGAAATGTGCTAGAAGGAGGGAGAGAGAAGGAGAAGCATCGAGAATGAGATTGACGAGGGGAAAAATGTGCTTCGGGACCAAGGCACGTTCGAGAAAGTTCGGGATTCGGACTTGCGGAGTGTTCACCGAATTCGGTTCGGTTGCGTGTGCGACTCGGGGTGAAACGAGGCGCACGCGGTTACTTGGGAAACAAGTGAAGTTACGAATCTCATTTTGTGTCTTGCCTGACTATAAAGCTGCTTGTACTCATTTTGGAAATCATACCAATCAGATTCTGAAAATTGCTGGTGTATTGACAACTTCAAGCAGAGCTGCGCATATCATTGGATTCGGGAGATCGTGGAGAACACGATGGGCGATAGCAAGTAGACTATTGCCGACTAAGGTGTTTACGATCCTAAGAACTGGTATCAGAGCTTGACGAACGGGCTCGTCGATCGTCGCGAATTCACTTGGTGCGCTAAGTGAAATTAGTGGAGAAGAGGAGTCGTTCACGCCTACGCTATGGGAGACGAGGCGAGTTCGGGTTCCAGTGTGAGTCTTGGAGACCCGCAGTTGAAGGCTCTTCTCGAGGCCCTTGCGAGTGGCCGATTGGTGGCGAAACCGACGATTGGGCTCAGTGAAGCTCAGCGCTTCAATGGAAGCAACTACAACGTGTGGCGAAAGAAGTTCATTCGAAGGGCAGAGGAGGTGGACCTCTTGCCGTACTACCGTCCCGACGAGGAGACGATGGAGGGAGTTGCGCCTTCCACGACGGATACGAAGGAGATAATAGCGGCGTTTAAAAAGCAAAGTAAGCAAGCTTTCTTTCAGCTTTGTCATTCAGTTGCCGATGGAATCGCGGTGGATTTGGACCAGTTTGCAGGGGAGCTGAACCCTGCACAGCGAGCGTGGGAGTACCTGGAGTCCACATACATGGGTACGAACGATGTCAACAAGAAGGCGATTAGGAAGCAACTGCTAATGCTGAGCATGGAGAAAGGCGAGAAAATCATCACCTACATCAACAGGGCGAAAAGCTACAACGACGATTTGCGGGTGATGGGAGCCGCGGAGATGGAGCACGAGATGATTGACTATATCATCCAAGGCCTTCCTAAGGAGTGGGAATCCGACATTGGTATGTTTACGTACCAACCGCCGGAGAGTTTGATGAAGTTGCAGGAGATTCTGCAGTCGCTTGAGACGGTGAAGGAGATGAGGAAGAAGAAAGCAGCAGCAGCAGTTACAGAATTCGACGAGGAGAGGCCGGGTATGGTGAATGCCACGAAGGCGTTTGGAGCATGCTACTAGTGTGGAAAGAGGGGGCATAAAGCGATAAATTGCTACGAAAATCCTCGAAGCAGAAACTACAAGGGCAAAGCTGTGGAGAATGATAAAGGAGAAAATGCAGGAGCGGAGTGGCAGCAGAAACGAGGTTTTGGCGGCAAGTGTGATTATTGTGGGCGCTACGGGCATCGTGCCGCAGAGTGCTACTCCAACCCGAATAGCATGAGCTACAAGGGTCCGTCGCAGCAGAGGAATGTGGCGACAAAGGCGAATGTAGTGGAAGCGGAAAAGGAGGATGTGATTTTGGGAGGAGCGCATCTCGCGAACGTGGTGCGGTTACCGAAGGAGGCTCAGACAGACGGACGTGAGAAGAGGGCGTGGTTCATGGACAGCGGATGCACGCGTCACATGACATTCAGGTCAGATAGGATGGAGAATGTGAGGGAGTCGAGTGAGGATTATATACTACAAGGTAACAGTGGGAAGTTACCAGTGACAGGAGAGGGTGACTGAGAAACTGAACGAGAATGAATTGACTAAGAGAAAGTTGGGTACAAATGTAAACCCTAGAAAACTGTACCCCATATGTGCTACCCCACTATAGCCTACAGTAGCTATGTCATATAAATCTGACACACCCCCATAGGCAAAGTGGGGGAGAACAAGGGGTCACAAGACCAGTCAAGCAAAGCAAACCAAGCTCAGGGTGGATCACAAAGTCACCACACATTCCGAGCACAAGTTCAAGGCCACAAGGCCAGTTCACATGCAGGATTACATATATATATAAGGCTAGACAAGCAAGAGCAGGTGTATATATATATGCAACAGTACAAACAAGGTCAAGGGGTGAGCAAGTGAGGCAAGGTAGGCACAAGACCCAGCTGAGTACAGAAGCG